TGCGGAGGTGACATTTATGACATCCCTTTCCAAGAGCTAGAGGCGACAATTGCAAAACTGGCCAAGGGACGCAGCCATACGTCCAACGAGTTCAGTAGAAGGAGCTCGGTGAAAGGTGATGTGGGAGAGAACGCAGCTCTTAAGGCAGTGTTGGCCAACCTTGCTGAGATAAAAGTTCAACTCGCCAATGCCAAACAAGTAGCTGCTGTGGAAGATCACAATCCAACGCAAATTCAACCGGGAATGTATATGATTGATCAAGAAGCGGAAGAAGCCAATTATCTCGGGCCTAATCAATACACTCATCCGTCAAACCTATACAACCCGGGATTGAGGAATCATCCCAATTTCTCTTACAAGAACACATCAAATGCGCTAAATCCTCAACCCGCTTTCCAACGGAACAACCAAGGACCTCCGGGTTTTCAATCAAAGTATCAACAACAAGGTCAAGGGAGCCAAGGCTACCAAGGGGATTCTAACTACAGATCGCAGCAAGTACAACCCAAGGAGCAAGACCCGGACATCAAGGATATGCTATTGCAAATTCTCCAAGGTCAAAAATCGCAAGGAGTATCCATTGGGAGCATTGAAAATGAGCAAATTGCATTCAAGAAACAATTGGAAGGAGTACAAGCTCACTTGAAGATCTTGGACAATCAAATGGCTCAACTCGCATCTTCCTCCTCATCAAGACAGCAAGGCATGCTCCCCGGTAAGAACGAGATGAACCCTCGGGAATATATCAATGCAGTGGAGCTGAGGAGTGGAAAACAACTTCCGGAGATCACCCATCCGATGGTTGAGAAGACATCACCTCCAAGGCTAACAAGAGAGGAAAAAAGCAAGGCTGTAGAGGAAGACACTCCAAAGGTGTAAGAACATGAGAAAGAACCCATCTACATTCCACCGCCACCTATGGTACCTCCAATCCCTTTTCCTTCTCGTCTAAGGAAATTTAATGAGGAAAGTCAGTTTGGGAAGTTTGCGGAGATGTTGAAAAAGATGGAGATTACGATGCCCTTTCATGAGGTAATTCTCAAAATGCCCTCATATGCGAAGTTTCTAAAAGACATCTTGGCGAGGAAAAGGGTTGTGGAAAAGGAAACAGTAGCCCTTAGTACCGAGATCAGTGCTGCAATCATGAAGCATGAACTTCCCCCAAAAATGGCTGATCCGGAAAGTTTCTCTATCCCTTGTAAGCTAGGAAACATCGACATCGATCGAGCCTTGTGTGATCTTGGAGCGAGTGTAAGTTTAATGCCCTTGTCAATCTACAAGAAAATGAACGTCGGTGAGCTAAAACCGACAAGGATGGCATTACAATTAGCGGATAGATCGATCAAGTACCCAGCGGGAATATTAGAAGATGTACCTTTGAAGATTGGTGAGTTTTATGTACCGGTCGATTTTGTTGTGCTAGACATGGATGAAGACTCCAAAGTTCCAATCATTTTAGGATGACCATTTTTTAGTACAGCGGATGCCATAGTGCACGTTCAGGCTGGGAGATTAACTATGAAGATCGGAGATGAAACAGTTGAATTCTCACTTGATCAGAACTTAAAGCAGCCCTCGACCAATGATATGGTGTGTTATGCGGATATACTTGAAGCAACGGCGGAAGAAGTGATCGGAGAATTTTGTGAAGTAGATCCGCTTGAAGCGTCACTAATAGCCGTAGAAGCAAGTCTATACAGCAATTGGGAGGAGATTGAAGAGATAAGACGAGCGTGAGACGGTCAAGAAGCCAAAAATGAAGTGTAGAGTAAAACGGGCGACCCGCCCGAAAAATGGGCGACCAGCTCATTTTGTCTGAGCAGCGGCACTGTTCACACGGGCGACCCGCCTGAAAAATGGGCGACCAGCTCATTTTGTCTGAACAGTGGCACTGTTCACGCGAGCGACCGGGACGAAAAATGGGCGACCCAGTGTAAAAAACGGGCGACACGCCCGTTTTGTCTGAGCAAAAGCGGTCCGGACACTGTAGAAGCGAGCGACC